TCCTGGAAGAAGGGACACCTGAAGCAAGATGTGAAGCATGAGTAGGAAAGTGACAGGTGAAGGCAGAAAGGCCAGCAGCCCTGGCCAGGAAGCGCGGCTGGATGTCTGAGGAGCCAGAGGCGGCACCAGCCTGGGCGCCCAGCAGGACCGGGGAGGAGGGAGGAAGCCAGCGTCTCCTGATTTGGTCCAGGGCCCTCCCTGATTCCCCCCTCCTCCCTCTCTGGGAGCCTGGCCCAAGCTCAGAGGGAGCCTGGCTCAGCAGGAGCGAGGGAGGGGACCTGGAGGACCCCAGGAACCCTCGTGGGAAGTGCTGCACACGTCACCCCCAGGAGCTGGGCCAGCTGCCTCCTGGTTGGCAGAGACGGAGGGGGACGTCCTCTCACTTGCTTCCTGGGACTGTGGTGTGGGTGGCTTCTCTAGACACCAAGCTCCTCAGCCCGTGTGCCTGTCACCCTGCCCCCACCTCAAGGCTGTCAAAATGGCACCTGGTGAATGGGACGAGCTTTGAGGTCTGGGTGCCTGTGTGGCCTCTGCCACTTGCAGGCCGCCTATGGGGTACGTAAATCAAGTCACAAGTTACGTGAGGCCCCTAAGCCTGGTTTCCACAGCGAACTGGGACGTAGAGCAGCTGCCTCCCGGTCACTGGATTTGGTGATTGAAGGGCCTGGCACGAGAGGGGTTCTGGAAGGGCAGCTAGCACAGTTATGTCCTCATTATTATTTATCAAGTGGGGTTCGCTGGCCGTTCCTTCAAACAATGAAGGTACATTGAGGGCTCTCTAAGTGCCGGGTCTGCTCTGGGCACCAGGGATTCTGCGGTCAATGGAGCACTTGACCTTGCAGAACTCCTGCTCTGCCCACTGCCCGGGAGAAAGCAGCCCGGTGAGTTTTACCACTTGCAGCACCACATTAGGAGCACAAAAAGATACAGCCGAAGTTCATTTTGAAGACAGTTTACCTGACCCAGTGTGTCCAAGTGCCGCGGGTCAGTGGTAGTGGAATGGTCAACGCGATGGTTGGCGTTCACTTCTCTTCCAGTCCTGCGACATGGCCCCCAGCCCACCCGCCTCTCATTGAGGCCAGAGCTCAGCAGCCCCCTGTGACTGGGGGCCTGGCCGGCTGCACAGACTGACAGCTGCCACCTGCCTCCTGGTGTTATTTCCATTTGCTTCAAGGCAGGATAGTGACCCACAGGGTCCTGGGAGGTTGACCATGGCACTGGACACAGGTTCAGTGTCCTTCGAAGCCCCCACCCTGCATCGCCTTCTAGAAGGCGTGGGGCTGGCATGGGGCGCTGGCTGACCCTCTTGTCCTCTGACTTCCAGGTCAGGTGAACCGGCTGCCCTTCTTCACCAACCACTTCTTTGACACGTACCTGCTGATCAGCGAGGACACGCCTGTGGGTGAGTTGGCCCGTGGCCGGGGGCGAGCCTGGTGGCATGGGGTGATCCCACAAGTGAAAGGGATCCAGAGGTTGGGATCAGCTTCCACCTATCAGTGGAATAACTTGCGTGGCGTTTGGGTGCCTCCGGGGAGTCCACTCCCAGCCTTGTGGACATCTGAAGGTGGCTGGTGGCTGACAACTTTAGTTGGTCTGTGACCCTTTGTGGTTGATGCGATGCCGAGCTTTCTGCCCTGTGCGTCCGTCCCATCGTTCGTGGTGGGAGGTGCCCGTGAGCACCCTGCTGCCCACCCTCCGCCCCTGCTGTCCGTGGGGCCTGAGCAGACCGCTGCGCTCAGCAGGTGGAGGCCGTTTGGCAGGGGTGGCCGGGCCTGGCTGGCATGTGTCTGAGTGCAGCGGGGACCGTTCCCTCGGTCCAGCGGGGCTTTGTCTCTAGGATCCGTGGACGGCCTGTGTGTGGAAAGTGGCCATTTCTTTGGCCTTGTGAGGATGGGCTTTAGGGCTGGGGCGTGGGGACCTGGGTGTTTGGAGGGCTGTCTAGGAAGGGGGGGCCTGCTTCTTTGGAAGGCTCTTGCAAAGGCTTCCCTCCCCTTCCGGGATGGAGAGCACCCGAAAGCCCCTGCAGCCCCACTGAGCCGTCGGCTCCTGCAGCACTGGGTCGGGTGTGTTTGGGGGTCCTGGATTTGGACATGGCTGTCCTCTTTGGGTGGGTTTTATCTACGTGGCTCCTCCCCCACCCAGTCTTGGAGTGGAACTGGCATGGGACGAGCAGCGTGGGCACCCAGTACATGAGCCCAGGTAAATGCACGAACAGTTGCAGCGCTGGCCACCAGTGAGCCCTCTCTTCCTTCATCCAGTTCATCAGATAAGGATGGGGGTCCCTGAGCCAGGCCCGGGTGCTGTGGACGCAGAGGGGATGGAGACAGATGGATAAAGAGATCAGGTCCTGAGGAATAGGGCGTGAGCCAGCTGACTGGTTAAGTCCCCCTGAGGGATGGCAGGAGGAGGGTCATCTCCCTGGAGGCAGGAGAGGTTTGTGGGAGGTGGCACCTGAACACGTCCTCAGAGTCCCTTCCTTTGGCTTCACACACTAGTTCTACGGCTGGCTTTTCTAAGTGGCCACTTTGGCCTCATCCTGGAGGATGCCCCTCTGTGGTGGAGTGTCTGTACGGGGCAGGTAGATGCCAGAGGCGGAGGTGTGGCCAGCGGCTCACCGAGCCCGGAGCTGGCTGGGGTGGGAAGGCCTTTATCCAGAGCCCTGCTGGCTGGGCCCCCTGCTGAGACCCCACAGGGCATGCTCAGCTCAGAGCCTGGGGTCCTCGGAGGCCGGTGGGGCAGCGAGGGTGATGTGGGGTGGGGTGGACACTGCTTGGCCAGTGCTGACCGTGACAAGGACACCCACCCAGGGAGCCCTCCAACAGGCCCTGCTCCTGTCACCTTTGGCTCTGGCTCTCGATTGTCTTTTGCAAACGCTGGCATCGATCGGTCCCCGGGAGCAGCTCCCAGGACTCAGCCCTGTGAAGGCTGCACTTGGCAGTCACAGCGGGGGTGTCTGTCTAGTGCTGCGGGATTGATCCCCGGCTCCAGGGAGCCTCGGGCTGGAGAGGGGCCTCGTGAGCTGGAAGTCCGCTCCCGCTCACCCTCTGGGCAGGGGGTGGCGCTGACCAGCCCCGCGCCTCCTGGCTCCCTCCCTTCCTTTCGCATCAGGATGGAGACAGCAGATCTCTAGCCTGAACCCCAGGAGCCGGTTTCCATTCCTCGCTGTGTGACCTTGGGTGCTGTGTGACCTTGGGCGCCGTGCCTCACCATTCTGGGTCTGTACTTTTCCATCTCGCCCATGAGCAGTCCCTGGAAAGCTGGCCAGTGCTGGCCAGTGCTTTCCAGATCAGTCAGGCCTGGAGCCCTCCTCTGCGGACGTAGACTCCTGTGGAGGTGGCAGGCACCCGGGGTCTCTGACCAGCAGTGGCCTGAGGGTTGAGACGGCTTGTCCGGGACAGTGGCCCTTTGCTTCCAAGAGACTTGACTTGGAGGCGTGGCTCTTACTAACCACTGACCCTCTGGATCTCAGTGTTCCAGTCTGCACAATGGGGACAGAACTGGTGAGGTGTTTCTGTACCATCCCATGAGCTCCAAAGCCTCTGCCCTGGACTGCCTTGCTGTTCCTGAAGGGAGGAACTGTATGGGGCCCAGGGATGGCTGTGCTAGCCACGGCCTTGTAGGGGGACAGCCAGGCACACAGACAAGCTAGGTCCAGTGGGCTGGTCAACGCCTAGGCCAGACTAAACGTGTCAGCTCCCCAGAGGTCAGAGCTGGGGCGGACCACACTGCCAGCTCCAGGCTGGCCATCCACCTTGTGCTTGGACACCCTGGGACAGGGGCTCATGGTCTGACAAGGCAGCGGGCTTCTGTGCTATGGGAGAGTTCTGGAAATAAAAAAAAAAAATCCTTCCTAATATTGTTATGAGATATGTCTCCTTGGAACTCCTGCCCATTGGGTCCAGTTCTCACTACTGGGGCGTTGCGGAAGAATAATACCACAAACATCATCTAATATATGGATTTTTTTTTTTAAAGAGAGAGCGAGAGAGAGTGGTAGAGAGAGAGAGAATTTTTAATATTTATTAATTTTTTTTTAGTTTTTGGCGGACACAACAACATCTTTGTTGGTATGTGGTGCTGAGGATCGAACCCGGGCCACAAGCATGCCAGGCGAGCGCGCTACCGCTTGAGCCACATCCCCAGCCCCCTACTATGTGGATTCTTATAACAGTTGCTTTCATTGGGGGCTCAAGGCAGTGTTCTATGTGATTTTAGGCCTTGATCCACTTTTAACTTCCCTTTCAGAACCTGAGGTGGGCCTGGTTCAGGCTCTCCGTGTGCAGTTTGTGTGGACGCGCTCCCCAGGGCTGGACGCTGGGCATCTGCCCCTCCCTAGCCTTCTGCACCTGTTCAGTATTTTTTATGCTCTTCCCTTAGTTCCCAGCGGCGGGCCTGTGGCTGGGGAACAGCACAGGAAGGCAGAGCCTGGCCATCGGAAATCCCTTGCCGAGGATGCATGTCCCCTCCCTGTCTCCGCACCCATCTCCTGCTCCAGTTCCCTCTGGGTGGTGTTCTTCTTGAAGAGCGTCCCCCAGCCGGAGAGACAGAAGCCAAATGAAGCTATTAAGTAGCTCTGCCTTCCCGGGTTTGTAAACGTCACCCACTTCCCCAGACAGGCCCCTGGTCCCCCTGTGACTTGCTGCAGATGGGGGCATCCGTCGTTGGCAGCGCAGCCAAGGATGAGTGGGGCAGGACACGGGAGGGGCAGCTCGGTGACTCCACCCCTGGTCAGGCTGGATGGAACGCCCAGCTGTGAATGGCCACAGGCCCCTGTAGCAGGAGGGACAGGGCTGCAGGGGTGCTCCTGGATCTGCTCCAGACACCCTGCCGGTGCTGCTCAGGGCAAGGTCACCACTTACCTCCACGTTGCTAAGTGCGATCGTAATTCCCAGCCCTTGTGACCTGCCAGCAGTTGATTGTCCCCCTCTAGAAAGCCCCACACCTTCCCCACCTCTGGACTCTGGGACTCAGCTCTCTTGTCCTCTCCAAGTCCTCACTCCCCTGGTGATCATCTGTCCTGCGCGTGAAACTCGCCTGCTCACAGCTCCGTCGGCTGCGCCTCCTGCCTGCGCCTCCTGCTACAGAGGCTCCTGGGAGGAGGCTCCAGTCTCCCTCGTCCCCCACTCAGCCTTTCTGGGTGTCTGAGCCTCAACAGGTCGGAGGGAACTCCTGCCCTCACCCCCAGATACCTGCCTCCCCGCAGCCTGTCCTGCTGGGTTAGCTCAACTCTGTGCTACCTCTGGCTCAGGCTTGAGACTCAAACGCCTCATCTCCTCATCCTTCTTGCCTCTCATCTAAGCCAGGAAGTCCTAGTGGTTCCATCTTCAAAACGGCCCAGAACTTTCTTAGCTCTCCCCATTCCGCTCCCACCACCGTGCTCCACGCCCAGATCACCCCCGCCGCCCCCCAGTCTCGGTGGCCTCGCTGCCCAGCCCTTTCTCCTCCTAGCAGCGGAGGCACAGCCTGTTCCTGATGTCAGCTCAAGTCCTGGACCAAAGCCAGCGCTCTTAAATGACACAGTGGCAGTCCGGCCGCCACCCTCAGGCCTCACCTCCTTCCCTCCGCTCCACGGGGTGGCTCCGCTTCAGAGGCACTGGTCTCCTTGTTGTCCCTTAAGCGTGAAGGCAAGTCCCTCCTCCAGCCTCCATAGCAGCTGTCCCTGCTGCCCGGAACTCAGGGAGCCTCCAGGACACGGGCTGAGTTAGTTTGCATGCGCTACCTGGGGGTGGCCTTCCTGGGTCTCTGCAGGCAGGAGCTGAGAGCTGCTTCTCTGGCTCCCCTCTTGGACCATGCATGCTTCTAGGTGGACCAGGCCACCTCTGTGTCCCCAGAGCGCAGCTCTGTGCCTGGCTGGTATCTGGAACTTGGGGTGCTTTAGGCAACGACTGGACTCTGGGATCGCGTGGGACCCTCTTCCAGAGCAGGGGCTGCAGGCTGGCTCCATGCCACCCACTGTCCCCCCTGGAATCTCAGCCCAGGTGCCCCCCTTGCCGGGGTGTGACAAGGGGGAGGCGTTGGTGGTGACCGGGTGGCTGCTCAGGGACTGGGCCCAGGAGAGTACTTTCCCCAGATGGCGCCGCCGCGGTGCGTGTCCATGGTTGTGTGCGGCCAGGCCTGTGCCGTGCCAGGGTCCTGTTTGATCATCCCAGATGGAGCTGTACGTGGCATATTTGCTGGGGACCCTCGGGACACTGAGCGCTGTCTGGGGGAGGGACACAGGGTTAGCAGCAGGGAGGTCGTGTTGGAGACACCCAGGAGCTCTAGGGGGATCCTCGAGGGCGGGGAGCCTTGGTGCCTTGGTCACCCCCCTCAGAGCTCAGGCCATGGAGGGGACAGTGCCCCGTCCCAGCTCTCAACAGCCCCAGCTAAAAGCCTCCCAGCGTCCACAGGAAGGAGCA